CGAAGCTTCTCAGAGGGCCGAGGGAGCTTCTCGGGAGCTCCTCGGAGGCAGGGCGAGGCCTGGCCTTTTCTTAGCAGCTCCCTCGGCCTCCCGCGGAGCCACGCCGCACTCTGAGAAGCCCCGCCCCCCTCGCATGGAGTCGGGCACGTCCCTCTACAAGGGGGATGCTCAAACATAGTTTTTTTTTAAGTCGGGGGACTCGGTGTTGAATCTGTGTGGGCAGCTGTGGACTAGTTTGCAAGTCTTCCTAACCCTCGCACCTCCCCCCCTAACTTGGTGGTCTCCAAACCAGGTGGTGAGACACCCGGTGGTGACCCCGATTCCCCCAAAAAACAATTCTGGGTCACCACCGGGTTTGGGGACACGCGGTCGCCACGAGGTTTTGCGTCTCCTGGGCCAGCCAGCGCTCGAAAACCATTACCCAAATCGCCCAAAACTCACCACCGGGTGTTCTCAACACCACGTTTGGGGACCACCAAGAGGGACCTATATTTTCTGGGTTTCTGGGTTTTTTCCTATATTTTCTGGGTTTTTGTCTTCCCCCCCACTTCCCATATCTTCCCATCTTTTCTGGGGAGCCGACGAGCCACGTTTGGGGACCACCAACTAACCCTCGCACCTCCCGCCCCCCCGGGCGCGCCGCCCATCGCTCCGTCTCTTCCTCGCCCCGGCCTCCGGCGGAACGCTCGGCATGAGCCGAGAGGCCCTCGGCGAGGCGCGGCTGCTGGAGGGCCGCCCCCCAGCTGCAGAGCGGCCGGCAGCTGCCGAGGGCACCCTGGCCATCGCTCGGCCGTTCATTCCCCGTGTTTTTGTCCGGTACCGCGCGTGGTCGTTTCGCAGGATGATCCAGGATGCTCCTTCAGAATCCCCGCGGAGAAGAAAGTGCACACGTCCGAGCGATACCAAGCACCCGGAGGCCTCGGAGCTCGACCCCTCTCGAACCTGGAAGCGTCACGCCGAGAGGTGGCGGCACCTCCGATGCTCTCGGCGGGGTGGGGGGGGGGGCGGGCCGCCGACCCCCCCCCCCCCCCCGCACGCCCCCCCCACGTGAGGATGATTTCATGACGTGCACACCCAAAAAGGTCTCGACCTCTCCCTTGGAGCCTGTTCTTCATCCTGAGGCGTTCTGTTGACGGTCCCGGGGCCCAGCGAAGGCCCCCCGAGGCCGACGGTCTACCTACATATGTATCTATGTATACACCAGAATATACATATATGTCGGCGGTGCCCGGTGCGGAGCGACCCCCCCCCTTCCCCCGGTAAACTCCATCTGGGGGGGTTCGTGCTGGCGGCACCGCCGGTGCGAGCCGGCACGAAACCCCCCAGTAAGCACAAAGCCCCCCCGGTATTCACGAACCCCCCTGGAATGCACGACTGGCTCGACTGGACCCCAAGGGTGTTTCAAGACGCCACACCTCCACAGAGAACCCCCTACCCCACCCGCACCCCCGCCCAACCCCAACCCCCCACTCCCACCCCCCCAATCCCACAGGGGGGGGGGTTCTGAGCCGTCGGCGGCACCCGGTGCGGCCTGCACGAATCCCCCCGGTAGTATTGGGGGGGGGGTTCGAGCCACGAGGCACGGCCGTACATGTATACACATATCCAGATGTATGTACGTATGCACATACATACACATATTTACGCATGACTATGTGTATGTAAAGTGCGACCACAAACGCATCACGCACACGTGCATACATACACACATCTAGATACACCTAGATTCATAAACGTACACATACACATACGCATACACGTACATAGGTGATAAGGTGCAACGCGAGGGGGTCTGTGGAGGGAGGTGCTACACGTGGCAGCGGAGGCGCGCGCGCGAGCGCGCGCGGAAGCGAGCGCGGCAGCGAGCGCCTGCGCGAGGGCGTCCAAGGCCGGCGTGTTCTGGGCGCGCGCCGGGGTCGCAGCTCGCCCGCCCGCGCCCGTCTTCGCGGGGGGGGAAGGAGAGGAGGAGGAGGGGGAAGTGCTACTGGATGCCTCCTAGATGGGGCCCGAGTAGACGGGGTCGAAGGATCGCGCCGCATCGCCAATGCATCGCCGATGCATCGGCGGTGCATCGGCGGTGCATCGGCGGTGCATCGGCAGCGCCGGCGATGCATCGGCGACGTCGGTGTGGGAAGCACGGGCTCAGCGTCGAGCCGCGTCGTCGACGCATCGGCGGTGCGGCGCGCGACCCTCCGGCCCTAATTACCTCTAGGCCTGACGCAAGGGTAGGGGGAGGGGGGAAGGCTTCCTAGAACTAGAAGGCGGCTGCTCCTTGAATGCGTCGGCCCTGCAGCTGCAGACAGGGCCCGCGCCTCCTAAGAAGCAGCCTCTTTCCAAAAAGCGCTGGACGACGGAGTCGAGGATCACTAACGTGACCGAGGAAGCCACGCGGGCCCCGAGGCCGCCTCACGAGGCCCAGTGTGGCAAGGGCATCGGACCTGCACACAGGCGAGAAGGAACCCACTTCTCGTTCTTGGTTGGGGGTTGGCCTTCGTTGAAAAGCCCACCGGGCAGGGAAGGACACAGGGCCCCCACCTCCTTTCGCTGCGGAGACAAAAAACACGACAACGGGCTCAGGACAAGTCATGGCCTCTGGGGGTCCTCGCCGGGCCTCGGAGCCGTCAAGAAACGGCTCGGGATGAAGAGCTGGTCCCAGGGGAGAGGTCAAGGTCTCTAAGGATCCACGCTGTGAACAAGAACACGAAGTCACGACGTCGGAAGTCTGGGGCAGAGGGGAGGGGCAGACATCGGAGGAAGGAGGGGGGGGAAGGGGGGCGGACGGAGGGGGGGATGGGTGGGGGGAAGGAGGGGGAATGGGAGGGGCGAGGAAAGGGGGAACCAGGGAGGGGGGAAGACGATGGATGGGGAAGAATTGGAGGGGGGAAGGAAGGGGAAACCTCTCCTTGGGGACTCCTGGAGGTGCCGAGGAGACGGCGACACTGGGCAAAGCTGGCGATCCTCCTCTTCCTTCGACACTGCGACACAAGCAAGCAACATTCACTCACCCGAAGCACATATATGAGCCCAGGGGCAAAGAGAGCAGACAAAAGAAAGATAAACGGGAATGGAAAAGATGGGAAGGGTACGCTGGGCCACTCAACTCCCCACGGGGGAGGGCTACACTGCGTGGACCAGCGATCCTCCTCCTGCTGCTGCTCCTCCTCCTCCTCCTCCTGCTCCTGCTCCTCCTCCTCCTCCTCCTCCTCCTCCCTCCTCCTCCTACTCCTCCTCCTCCTCCTCCTCCTCCTCCTCCTCCTCCTACTCCTCCTCCTCCTCCTCCTCCTCCTCCTCCTCCTCCTCCTCCTCCTCCTCCTCCTCTCCTCCCTCCTCTTTTTCCTCCTCTTTTTCCTCCTCCTCCTCCTCCTCCTCCTCCTCCTCTTCCTCCTCTTTTTCCTCCTCCTCCTCCCCTCCTCCTCCTCCTCCTCCTCCTCCTCCTCCTCCTCCTCCTCCTCCTCCCCCAAGATATCCGACGATGTGCCACATGCAGTCCGCGGACCCCAAGGACCCCACCTCCCTCCCCTGGGGCCTGCGGATCGCCCTGGACGTCCCTGCCTGACGGCCCCGCTTGGCCCGACGACGGGCCCAGGAGGCCGAAGAGCTGGGAGAAACGCCAGGATTGACACACCTCCCTAAGACGAAGCCAGGACGAGAATTACCCTCTCCTCCTCCTCCTCCTCCTCCTCCTCCGCCTCCTCCTCCTCATCCTCCTCCCATCGCGGAGGGCAGATCGAGAATCTCTGAGATCCGGCGGCTCTGGAGGACGTCTCGGGCGCCGCGGCCTTCTCGGAGCGTTCCGGCGTGCCCTTGAACGGATCCCATCCTCGTCGTAGCCCCGTCCGAACCTCCCTCTCCCATCGTGGAACATCTGTGCCCACACGTCCTCGGCAAGCCTCCCCCCAACCCTCGGCCGGCCACTCCAGCCCAGCCCAGCCCCCCCCAAACCCCAGCCCCCAGGCGTGGCTTGGGGGGGGGGGAGGCGATCAGTGGGGGCGGAGAAGCAAAGTGCACCCTTCGTGATCTGTTGCTCTGACCCCAGGGGGGCCCCTTCAGGGCCCCTCTAGGACACGAGAGGTGCACCTCTCTTCACCCCCCCGTTCATCGCCCCCCAGTTGCGCAACGCCCTATCGAGGCTAGAAGTAATCGTCGCTAGGTCGGCGCGATCGCATCGCTTGCGAGACGCTTATCGAAGCTAGAGCTGTCGAACCATGGCTTGCTACCGAATCCTTCCCTTAGGCCCTCAGGACGGGCGTGTCCTCCTGCAGGCGGATTTTGGACGAAAAATAAAAACAGTCACACATGTGCAAAAATGATCCAAAATCGACACCAGACTATGGTTGGACTATTGTGGAATTTTCCTCCTGTAGAGGAACGCGCCGGACCTCACCCCTCCCCCCCGCGCAGAGGGGCGCTCCAGGAGGGACGGGCCCACCGCCCTGGGGACGATCTCCTCGCGGCGAGCGCGGGCGCTCGCGCAGAGGAGGGGGGGGGCAGGGGGCGCGGCGAGGGGGCAGGCGGGCGCGGAGGGCGCGGAGGGGACGAGAGCTGGACCGCCGCGGCGCCTCCCGCCGACGGCGGCGGCGGCAGCGCCGACGCCGGCGCCGAAGACGCCGACGGCGGCGGCGGCGGCGGCGACGACGACAGCGGCGCCGACGGCGCCGACGGCCGCACCGCCGGCGGCGCGGGCGGCCGCAGCGCCGGGGCAGCCGCACGCGGGCCCGACACTATAGGCTCTGGAGAGAGAGGCCGGCCGCGGCCGGGGTGCGCCCCCGGCTGCGGGGGCGTACGGTGCTCCACCGTCGATGGTGCCAGCGGGGGTCAGGTGCACAGCTCACCATGGCCCGGACGCCCATTCCCCGTGCATTCGTCGACTTCGCGCGTGCTTTTTTTGGCTCGAGGGACCAGGATGGTCCTCGATGGCTCTCGCCGAGAAAAAGATGCACACGTCCGAGCGATGCCAAGAGGGGGGAGGGAAAAGGGGAATCTCGGGAGTCCCGACGCGG